GAGGGGCACAATCTTGGCTCTCTACAACCTCCACCTCCTAGGTTCAAGCAATTCTCATGCTTCAGCCTCATACCAAGTAGCTGGGATTATAGGCGCGCACCATCACGCCTGGCTAATTTTTGTATTTTTGATAGAGATGTGGTTTCACCATGTTGGCCAGGCTGTTGTCAAACTGCTGACCTCAAGTGATCCACCTGCCTCAGCCTCCCAAAGTGCTGGGATTACAGACGTCAGCCACCGCACCCGGCCCTACTTAGTTTTATTTTAACATGTTAGGTAAATAGCTAACTATTCCTATGTTATTATAAGATTTCAAAAACCATAATGAATGTTTAATATCAAATGCCTTTTTAGCATCTGTGGAAAGGATCACATAATCTCTCTTTACATCTATTAATATCATAAAACATATTAATACCTTTCCGAATTTTGAACTAACCTGGCATTCCTGACCAAATCCCAAATACTTATGGTTAATTATTTTGGTAAAATTACTGAAATAAATTTGTTAATCTCTTATGATTTTACATTTTCTTTTCTTTAATATAAAATTTTTCTTTTCTTTTGGGCTAGTTACACACACTTCGCAAAAAAAAAAAAAAATGGAAGCTTTCTTCTTTTATATTCTTGAATAGTTTGATTGTCATTACAAACTTCCCTGTGGCATTTTATAGAGATGTTGCTTTTTATTAGTGGCGGTTGGAAGCTAGCTCTTCCTCTACTCTTTCTATAGTAGTCTATTTAGATTTTCTAACTGTTCTAGAATTATTTTAATAAATCATAACTTCATAGAAAACTTTTATAACTTGGAGTTCAGAAAAATAGAATTTTATAATTTTTATTGAAATATAATAGTTGTACATATTTAGGGAGTACACTGTGATGTCTGTATGTATATATAAAGCAATGTGTAAGGATCAAATCAGGGTAATTGGGATATCTATCACCTCAAACATTTATCTTTGTGTTGGGAACATTCCAATTCTTCTGGCTATTATGGAATATACAATAAATTATTGTTAACTACAGTCTCCATACTCTGCTATCAAATTCTAGAACTTGTTCCTTTTATTTAACTGTATTTTTATACCCATTAACCAATTTCTCTTTATCACTCCTTCCCCTCACCCTTCCCAGCCTCCAATCACCACCATTCTATTCTCTACCAGAAGTTTTCAGTTTTCTATTGGGCTATGTTTATTTTCTCCCTGTCAATTATTATTTTGCATGCTTATACTTTTTTGCTTTTACTCATGATTGATCACTTAGTTAAGGTTTATCAATTTCATTTTACCACAAATAACCTGTTCTCAATTTGTATTCATTCTTTTGTTTGTCTATTTTCTAATTTAGTACTATGTAATTCCTTTAGATTTTCTTAAATTTCTTTTGTTTTCTTATTCTAAATTCATGAGTAGGTTAAGCCTTTTCATTTCAATTTTTTACTGATTGACATGAACGTATCTTTTGACTTACAGTTGTAAGACTACTGAGGAAGTTAGCATACCTACACCATCTCTACATGTTCTTTCTTCTCTTCTTAACTTTATTAGATGTGTCATTTCTATGATGTCATTGTTCATACATTTATATTTTATTCTGAAACCACAATCCCCATATATGTCTTACAGTAAAAAATATTCAGTGCTTATTACCAGTTCTTTTGTTTCCTTTTTCCTTCCTCTTCTCTTTGTTGGTTGAAGTTTATCCTCTAGGAATTTATTCTGTTGGGCTCATAGAATAACTATTCTTGAGTTTTTGAGTGTCCAAAAACTTTAGGTTGTTGCTTGTATATTTGAGTTACAGTTTGTCTCAATAGAAAATTCTCTGGTTACATTTTCCTTCTATGAAGATTTTATAGGAAGTTTTCTATTATTTTCTAGTCTTGAATACTTCTGTAGAGAAATTTGAGATAAGCGTCTTCTCGTCCCATTGTGACTTGATTTCTGCCAATACACCCAAAGGATTCATTATTTTCAAATTACAATAACCTTACTAGGACTATCTCAGAATGGGACCTGTTTCTGTCTCCTGGTACATGTTGTGACTTTTCAGTCTCTAGAAGCCAGTCTTTGGTTATTTCTGGAAAGTTTTATTTTGTCTAATTGTTTGTTCCTCTGTGCTCATTTTTTGCCTAAGTTCTGTTATCTCACATTTCATCTCCATCTGGTATCTTGAAACTCTTCCCTGAAGTCTTGTATCTCCGTCTTGTGTTCTTGTTACACAGAGGTGAATGGTTTTTAACATGTTTTCAGTTCACATTTGTTTTTTGTCTTTCAGTTATTCAGCAGCTCTATGCCACCATTTTTCTTCTGAGTGTTTGTAATCTAGCATTTGTTTGTCCTGGTTTCTCTCCTCTCCCCTCCCCATTTTTTCTTGAGTATCTTTAAATCTTGTGCTGGTTCCCTTTTGAAGTCTAAATGAATTGAAAGGTGTCTGAGCCAGTTTTTCATGAGAGTTTTTTGTTGGGGACAGGTGCATGTCTTGATTCACGGTTGATTTTGAGTACCTTTTGCCTTGACTTCTCTAATGTCAATGCTGACACACAGCTGAGGAACTGCTGACAGGGCAGTTTTCTTGCTTTTACAGTCTCACTTAAACACTACACAATCAGCTTGCCTGGGTGGCTTCTCATTCAGTCCTGCCTCCTCTGCTTCTCAGATCCAAACTGAGACCAAAGAAGACCATGCTACCAACCATTTCCACTTTTATAAACAAGGGATTTTTAAGAATATTTTGGTGACCATCCCCCAAAGCAGTCACATCAACCATGCTACTACAGCACTCTGATTTCTGAGATCTGATTTTCTTAACCACTCCTGGCCCTGAATTTCACTGCCCCAGTTCAGGCAATCATCATACTTCCCTTTCTGTTAGAGTTATCAGACTCCAACCTCTTCCCATCTTCTGATTTCAGATACAAGGGTATGACATTGCTCTTAAGGAAACTCTAGCCCTACTTGTCTCTGGTCAATAAAGACACTGCTATTTTTTTGATCCAGAGTTTGACATAATTCAATATGGCTTTCCAAGTACGTGCCTTCTTCATTTGAAGACATAGCCTTAGAGTCATTGGTCAATCTACCATGACTGAAGGAAGGACAAGTAGAAGACCAGTGTCTGTGCAATGTAGAACCCTGACTGCACCTGGCAGGAACCAACCCACAGGCTATGATTACAACTTTGGTTTCAGAGGGGAGTAGCAGACAATGTACACAGAAAAAATAATTTTAAATTGTTAGTCAAAGTCCAGTGTAAGGATTTAAGTAACAATAATAACATTAGCAATTCATTGAATGAGGAGTGTTGAATTGACACTTCATAGTGTGATCCCTCTCTGTGAAGAAACGTGGTCGGCTGATCTTTCCGACATTCAGAATCATGGGTATCTTCTCTCTGATTCTTTTTTTTTTTTGAGACGGAGTCTTGCTCTGTTGCCCAGGCTGGAGTGCAGTGGCCGGATCTCAGCTCACTGCAAGCTCCTCCTCTCGGGTTTACGTCATTCTCCTGCCTCAGCCTCCCGAGTAGCTGGGACTACAGGCGCCCGCCACCTCGCCCGGCTAATTTTTTGTATTTTTTAGTAGAGACGGGGTTTCACTGTGTTAGCCAGGATGGTCTCGATCTCCTGACCTCGTGATCCGCCCGTCTCGGTCTCCCGAAGTGCTGGGATTACAGGCTTGAGCCACCACGCCTGGCTGCTTCTCTCTGCTTCTTGCCAGACCTTCACTTGATCATTATTTCCAGAAGCCTTGAAACCTAGACAACAGTTTCAATGTTTTCTAGTTTCTCTGAAAATCTCATCACCTTTTCTATTTTGAAGTCTGCTTATTGGTCTCTGATTCTATGACACTGATTTTTTGGATTCCACATAGAAGTAAAATTGTAAAGCATTTGTCTTTCTGTGTCTAGTTTATTTCACTTAGCATAACGTTATCCAGTTTATACGAAAGGATGTATTTTAACATTCTCACCACAAAAATGAGTTGGTGATGGGATGGCTATGTTAATTACCTTGATTTAATCATTTTACAAAGCATATACCGATCAATATCACACTGTACCCCATAAATATACACAATTATTATTCATCGATTAAAAATAAATTATTAAAATGTAATCTGCTTATTAGTTTGGGTTGATCCCTCAGAGAAAAATGGGAAAATTCTATCTTTTTTTCTTCTTTTTTTTGGGGGGATGGAGTCTCTCTCTGTCACCCAGGCTGGAGTGCAGTGACACGATCTTGGCTCACTGCAAGCTCTGCCTCCCAAGTTCATGCCATTCTCCTGCCTCAGCCTCCCGAGTAGCTGGGACTACAGGCGCCCGCCACCATGCCCGGCTAATTTTTTTGTATTTTTAGTAGAGACGGGGTTTCACTGTGTTAGCCAGGATGGTCTCGATCTCCTGACCTCGTGATCCGCCCACCTCGGACTCCCAAAGTGCTGGGATTACAGGCGTGAGCCACCGCGCCTGGTGAAAATTCTATCTCAATCTCACTATGTTCAAAAAGGAAGTCTCTTGTCTTTTTTTTTTTTTTAAAAAATTTATTGCGTATATTTAAGGTTCACTACATGAAGTTATGAGATACATGTAGACAGTAAAATGATTAGTATAGTGAAACAAATTCACGTATCCATCATCTCACACAGTTACCCATTTTCCCCTCTCTGGCAAAAGCAGCTATAATCTACTCATTTAGCAAAAATCTTGAATACAATACACTTTATTAACTACAATCCTCATGTTGTAAATTAGATCTTTTATCTTAGTTTATTTTCCCACGTATTCTGAGCTTTTCAGCCAGCAGAGGATGAGAGGGACAAGGTGGTGGTGACACTGGGCATCTCAACCACGAGCAAGGTGAAGGCATTGAGGTGATGGAGGAGGTCAACGAGTGAGGGACGGCCTGGGGACTCGCCATGGGGCTTTGAACATAAATGGTTTAAAATGTTAATGTGAACTGAGTGAACTGATACCTCCCCTGCTGGGACATGTCCTTATAGGAACTCATGGAGCCAGAAGCTGGGACCAACAGGACCGCTGTTGCTGAGTTCATTCTGCTGGGCCTGGTGCAAACAGAAGAGATGCAGTCTGTGGTCTTTGTGCTCTTCCTCTTTGCCTATCTGGTCACAATTGGGGGCAACCTCAGCATCCTGGCAGCTGTCTTGGTGGAGCCCAAACTCCACACCCCCATGTACTTCTTCCTGGGGAACCTATCAGTGCTGGATGTCGGATGTATCACTGTCACTGTGCCTGCAATGTTGGGTCGTCTCTTGTCCCACAAGTGCACAATCTCCTATGATGCCTGCCTCTCCCAGCTCTTCTTCTTCCACCTTCTGGCTGGGATGGACTGCTTCCTGCTGACTGCCATGGCCTATGACCGATTCCTGGCCATCTGCCGGCCCCTCACCTACAGCACCCGCATGAGTCAGACAGTCCAGGGGATGTTGGTGGCTGTGTCCTGGACTTGTGCCTTCACCAACGCACTGACCCACACTATTGCCTTAGCTACCCTCAACTTCTGTGGCCCCAGTGTGATCAATCACTTCTACTGTGACCTTCCACAGCTCTTCCAGCTCTCCTGCTCCAGCACCCAACTCAATGAGCTGCTGCTCTTTGTAGCAGCAGCCTTCATGGCTGTGGTGCCCTTGGTCCTCATCAGCGTGTCCTATGCCCATGTGGTAGCTGCTGTGCTGCAAATCCACTCAGCTGAGGGCAGAAAGAAGGCCTTCTCCACATGTGGCTCCCACCTCACTGTGGTGGGCATCTTCTATGGGACAGGTGTCTTCAGCTACATGAGGCTGGGTTCAGTGGAATCTTCAGACAAGGATAAGGGGGTTGGAGTTTTCATGACTGTGATCAACCCCATGCTGAACCCACTTATCTACAGCCTCAGAAATACTGATGTTCAGGGCGCTCTGTGTCAGCTGCTTGTGGGGAAGCGATCACTGACCTGAGAGATGACCTCCTTTCCTGCCTTTTCTGGACTGAGGAAAATTTCCCAAGAGGACAGTAACCAACGAACCTTGCTTATAACCATTATTTCTATCTCTTGATGCCTGAGGAGTGGTGTTATGTGTTTGGCCTACAAGGAAACCCTATATAATTCATTCATTTATTCATTCGACAAATATTTATTAAATTACTTCTATGATCCAATCTTCTAGGGCACTGGGGAGCAAAATGGACAAAAGTCTCTGAACTCAAGCAAATCACATGCTATAAAGGTAGGCTAAATAAATCAATAAGCATCATATATAGTATACCACGTGGTGATACATTCTATAGAAAAAAGCTAGTAAGACAGGAAGACATGAAGTTAGCTTCTGCCAACCAAGCCTCTTGGGCAAGTTGCTGACTTGTTTTGGGCTGTGCCCACTTTCTCAGTAGAGTTGAAACCTTGGCAGCACTTTATGCCTGGGCAGCAATGTCCTACGGGAAAGGGCCACTTAACCCCAGCCTAGGTAACCAAGAATATCACTGCAAAGTTTCCTTCCAGAGGGATGTGAGACTCCCTCCAGATCAGAGTATGGAAAGGTATTTTGAACCATGGGCCCAGTGCCAGGAATCATTTCATTCTGCTGTTCATCTTTCGCCTCCCATAAAATCAGTTCCCTCTCTTTAGTATCACATGTGAATCCCATAGGATGATCAGGCAACAGCTGGGGTCTAGAGAAGGAAAGAGCTACTAAATAAAAACTGTGTTCATACGTACATGATATACCTTAAGATCAAAAAAGGAATGTTTTATTTCCATCCCCTGTGGTATCTTTCTCTTATCTGATAAGTCATCTTCCTGACACATATGATACTTTTTGAAAGAGTAAGCATTTATGTTCCAATCAGGCCCTTGGAATTTTGTTGTAGACTACCCAATACAACATTCTCCTCTGAAGTCTTACTTTTCTATCCCAAACCTTCTAGCCTGAAAATACACATCCACAAATGCAGTCCCTGGGAGTGATACCTCTTTCTAACTTTATATTATTAACACATCAATAGCACTGCAACCCAGAGCACTTCCTCATCTTGATGTCTATCCAGGCTTCAGCCCACTAATTCCTGATTCTCTCCAGCCTTCCTGGGAACACTGTTTACCATGTCTTAGCAACTCTACTGTCCTTTTGCTGTGTCATCCCTAAAACTGTACATGGGTGCACCTGAACCTTGGCTTCTCTGTTATTTCCTCTTGGGGCTGACTGGAAGGATGGGCTGAGATAAGGATGTGAAGAAAATATAGGAGAGTGGGAGGTAGGAAAGAATTGGAGCAGAGCAATGAAGATGAAATGAGTATATTGACAGGGATGGGACAGGATGATGAGCAAAAGTGGTGAGAAGGAAGGATGGAAGTAATGAAGGAGATGGCGCAATGAGAGAATGGGAAGAGAGAAGTATGTCTCTTTCCTGATGCTCTCAGTTGTCAAGACACTTTAAGGTTAAAGAACTTGAGCTTCCCTTAAGGGCAAAGTTCTTGTGAATGAAAATCAGGGACACAGGTTGTAATCACATCATTCCTACTCATCCACTGCTCTGTGATCTTAGAAAGTTCCTTACTATCATTGGGCTTGTGTCCACCTGTACCGTAAAGGACTGGGACAAGGCTTTCTATCCGCAGTTCTTCACATTTAATGATCTCTGATCACAGTAGTCTGAATGAACTTTTCCCTGGGTCTGAACACATCACAAAACATTTTGAGAGCATTACCACCACCATTTCCACCCCTCCATCTACCCCGTGAGCATCTCACATTTGTCTATGACCCCCAAAGATCCCAGGTCCTAGCATTCTGAACATTCATCCTTTCCTGCGTTCCACCTGTCCTCCAACACTAAGGGTTTCCTGAACAAGTGAGAAAAGTGTATTTCCCTTGGGAATTTCTCTCATCGTGCTCTTGAATGTAAATATACTTATTTTTAAATGTTTCAGAAATATTATACCTGACAGTGGAAACATTCAGACAGTATTATACTGTCAAGTGGGAAATAAACCTCACCAAAAACCTCGTCAGAGTTAACTCCTCTTAAGAATTTAGTGAGTGCGCTACCTGACTTCAAACTATACTACAAGGCTACAGTAACCAAAACAGCATGGTACTGGTACCAAAACAGAGATATAGACCAATGGAACAGAACAGA